ATTTTGTGTGTATTTGTTTTATAATTTAAATTCTTAATTTTTAATTATTTAATTGTACAATATATATATACCTATTGGGTTCCAGTCTCGATATTTGAGGCCCAGTAGCACCAAACTATCATTAATAATTATGTGTGTCAAATTCAATATTTTGATAATTTTGTGTGTGTTTGTTTTATAATTTAAATTCTTAATTTTTAATTATTTAATTATACAAAGTATATATATGCCTATTGGGATCCATGCTCGATATTTGAGGCCCAGTAGCACTGAACTATCATGAATAATTATGTGTGTCAAATTCAATATTCTGATAATTTTGTGTGTGTTTATTTTATAATTTAAATTCTTAATTTTTAATTATTTAATTGTACAAAATATATATACCTATTGGGTTCCAGGCTTGATATTTGAGGCCCAGTAGCACCAAACTATCATGAATAATTATGTGTGTCAAATTCAATATTTTGATAATTTTGTGTATGTTTGTTTTATAATTTAAATTTTTAATTTTTAATTATTTAATTGTACAAAGTATATATTTCACCTACCAATATAAGCAATACTTAAACTACAGGGATTCTACGCAAAAATACTCTACAATTTACTACGCTAAAAGGTTCTACAATTTACTACGCTAATAAATAATCTAAACTAAATAAACAAATACATTTTAATCACATAACATTCACAAAAATACATATAACATACTAGTTTCGCAAAAATAAAACACAAATCGACATGGAAACAGTAATATCTAAATCCTAATATTAACAGAAAAAATTATTTCTCAATTTTATATTTTTTTTAGAACACTAATATCTAAGTCCGGATAAATATAACATACTAGTTTCGCAAATAAAACACAAAACGACATGGAAACACATTCAATCAACTAATAAATATGCATTATTATATAAGTTTCGACATAAAATAAATTGAAATACCTCGATGTAGTGTTTTGTGTGAAAAATTGAGTCCGAAAGAGTGAAACCACAATAATACGATGCTCTACTACGATGTGGGACCGACGTTCTTAACGTTTTGTGTAACGGGTGGGGCCCACAATTTTTTGTTTTTTTAAAGAAGACGATGGGGAGGGGGGACCAGAAACTGCTTCAAAGTAAAAAAATGGGTGAGGGATCGTTCTGGTCGGGAAGAAGACGAAGGGGATTATTTAATTAAGGGTATAGCGTATTGTATTTGTACGCTATATATAGCGTGAAAATACAACACGCTATATCTGTGTCAGTCAAATATCAATATATATAACGCGAAAACATGTCACGCTATACCTTAACGGCAAAAGTTACCGTTAAAATATAGCGTGGTGTGTTTTCACGTTATATATATATAAATGTAACTTTTTTTACACTTATTTACGTATTTTTTGTTCATGTATGAGTAGGCATTTATTGGGTGGTCTTTTGTCAAGAGCTTTAGACAACACGTGTAAAAGGTTATCTTTTAGTGCAGAGAGTAGGCTGCCAAGGAGTATAAAAACTCAAAATATTGTCTTCTAAACTCATTATTACATTACAAGTAAGGATATTACATTACAAGTTAGGAATTTGGGTCCTCAATTCATAGTACTTATAAGTATAATCAACTGGATCGAGAGCTTCCTCATATTTTAGAACAACTCGATTTGAGCGTTTGGATAAATATGATGATAGATTATTATGTTATACCGGTAGGTAATTTTAGATGAAACCTATCTTCTCTTTGAGAAGATGGAACCTATTTATCATATTTTATCTTAATTTGAATCAGGCTTGCTCCAACGAGCTCATATTTTTCTGTCTGCCCTTTTTGTATTGAATTAGTTGTCTACATTTTTTCTGACGTTTTAGAGAAAACTCAATATTCAATAGTGCTTCTTATTGTAAAAGTTGAAATTTTTTCCCTTGGCAACAACAAAAAGTTTGAGTTTGAGACACTTTTTAGCCTATTTTATCTTGGCAAATATAATTTAAATCAGATTGGCTCCAAAGGAGGATTCTTTATTTCTGCCCCTTTTGCGTTGACTTATTTTTCTTGAATTTCTCAGATAGTTTACCGAAATTGCATAATTTAATAGAAGTAATAGGGCAGAGAACTATTTCACGGTCTATTGACAAATGCTGCTATATTGTAGAGTGACAAGGTGCAGTTGTGCGTCGAAAAGATGGTAAGTGTTTGTACTGCTGTTATGTTAGATTGTCTTGAGTAAAATTTTGGTAACTTAAAGAGTTTTCCGCTTAACTGATTGAAACATCAATCATAGTGTTTTTTTGGTTCTTTGTCATAAGGCTCTTCTCTCTTTTCCTTCCCGACTTCTCCTCTGCTTTACCTTGAACAGAGGAACTTCCCACCTCTGATTAAGTTGCGTGAGAGTACTAGTTAAAAATCCTATAAATGATAGCTCACACGAACACACCCTCCACTTTCCTCCATTTTCACTGTCCTCATCTTTCTGAGTAGTTCACGTAGCAAGGTTTTTGTTTTCGCTCTCTTTTCATCAGATATATACCTCTGTTTATTTCCATCTGAATATCACAAAATCCCTTTATTCCCACAATCTTTTTTTTAAAATAATTTTTGTAGTCGTGAAGACTTTTAACCCCTTTTCATTGAAATTCCAACTTGTCAGTTTCTTACTTTGTATTTGTGCTCTCAGTAAGTAATTTTTTTACTAATTAAGGTTTTGTGCAAAGCGGATGTTAGAGTCTGATCTGTATGTTAGAGAGATTTGTAATTTGATTGTCCCCTATAGATGGCTTGTTTAACTGGGGTTCCGTAGTTTATTTTTGCTTTGTGGGCTGTCTGTTTCTTTTAGTTCTGATTTTAGATCTAGTTAATTTAGTGTGCAAATGAATTAGGGGCTTTTTGATTGTTAATTTTAGTGGGAACACTTGGGGAAGATGATTTTCTCAAGGTTTAGCCGTAGTCACATAGACGGAAGCTGGTTGTCCAAAAATTATACTGTGTAGTCAATATTTTATATATATATATATATTAAATCTTAAATATCGTTAGAGAAATTCCCGAGTTCACCACAAATATGGTGTCCATTAATGTGTAGAGTTGCTTCTGAACTCTGCCTATATGAGCTCTGCGGAGCATGGCGCTCAGATAAAGGAAGAGGGTTGTGATAGGTTGAAAACAGTGAAATAATAGTGGATAAATCCTCTGAACATGGACCTGAATGGTGAGGAATAGATATGGATGATTCACATTAGTCCGGAACCAAAATGTGTTTTTTTTTTACTCAAACTATACAAATAGATGGTAAAAAAAAAGACCTTTTTATATATGCGCCATAATACCTGGCGCTATATACTAATAGTAATGACACCGTTAAGGTATATCGCCAGGTATTGTGGTGCTATACTGTAAAAGCTGACATGGCCAGGTATAGCGCCACAATACCTGGCTATATATACATCATTAATGTATAGCGCCAGGTATAGTGGCGCTATACATAGATATTTTATACCCCTCCGTCTTCCACTCGATTCATCCTCCATTTTTAAACCCTCATCTTTCTTGGTCCCCCACCAAATACCCCATTTCTGCCATTTTTTTTTAATAATAAAAAAAAGAATTTTGGGTCCCCCCGACACATAAAACTCGAAGAAAAAGGGTCCCACATTCGAGTAGAGTTTCGTGCTATTGTTGATTCACAATTCCGGAGTCAAAATTTCGATCTTTTTGCTTTGCCAAAATTCTAAATCGAGGTATTTCGATTTATTTTAAGTTGAAACATTTATAATAATGTATATTATTTGATTTGTATGTGTTCTATTTCGTTTGTGTTTTTTTTCGAAACTAGCATGTTAAATTTATCCGGATTTAATATTAGTGTTTTCTAAAAAAATATAAATTAGTAAAATAAATTTGTCTGTTAATATCCTGATTTATATATATATATATGTGTTTTCATGCCGTTTTGTATTTTATTTGCAATTAAATTTATTTGTTGTTTATGGTTAGTTTAGATTATTTTTTAGCGTAGTAAAAACCAGACCTTTTTAGCGTAGTAAAACGTAGACCCTTATAGCGCAGTAAAGTTTAGAGCCTTGTAGCGTAGTGATGTGTAGTATTTTAGCTTAGAATTCCTTTTGTTTAAGTATCTTATACTGGTAGTTGAAAATGCAAACTTTATACAATTAAGTTAATAATTGTATCAACATACATAATTAGTAATTTGTACAATTAAGTTATTATAAAATATGAGTTTAAATTATAATAAAAACACATTAT